GCCGCCTGTACATTACGCCGATGTGGTCAACTCTGCTTCAACTTCAACTTCAACTGGCAATTCAGTCGAGGAAATAAGCGCTCATACCGGTATACTTTTTAGTCATTTTATTCAGTTTTTACAGATATTTTTTATATAATTTTAGGAGCACCACCGCCTTCATCTTCTGTTGCTTCATCTGATGAACTTCAAAAGAAACTCGATCAAAAACGTGAACGCAATCGCATTGCAGCCCGAAAGTGTCGAGATAAAAAATTTTCAAAAATCAAGACGCTCCAATCAGATATAAAAAATTTGGATAAAGAAAATAGACGCCACCAAGAAGAAATAGACAATCTGGTGAAACGAAGAAACCAGTTAAGACTGATGCTATCTAATCTGTCCTTTTCCCAGCTCAGCGTCAACCCGGACATTCTAACCAAAACTTGAACTTGTTGTGTACAACTTTATTGAGCATTTACCTTTACATCATTTATATTTCCATTAGAGGCCTCTTACTCACTATTAAACGTTAAAACACCCCAATGAGTCAATGGAGACTGAGACATTTAGTGTGAGGCTGACTTGGAAAACGGCATGCTGCATGAAGATTAGCTGTGAGTGCGAGGATTGGATTGGTAGAGGTTTAGTTCGCTGGGCAGGAGAAGTACACAAGGCACAANATTTAGTGTGAGGCTGACTTGGAAAACGGCATGCTGCATGAAGATTAGCTGTGAGTGCGAGGATCGGATTGGTAGAGGTTTAGTTCGCTGGGCAGGAGAAGTACACAAGGCACAAAAAAAATCTAACCGGCTTTTAAGACTGAGGGGCGTAGAATGGCAACAATTAAATTTTGAAAAAGTACTTCCTTCGATCCAAATGGATCATTTTGGGCTGTAGCGCCCCTATTGCCCACACACAATGCATTGGCATGAGAGCAGTCTACGGGAGCAGTGTGGGCACTGCTGCCCACACGTTGTTCTACAGTGAAGTGAACAGTGTTCACTGAACACACTGGCGACACTTCCGCGCCGGCAGTCCACGGTCCGGTCTTCCGTAGTAGTTTTTTTTAATTAGCTGGCGCGGCTCTGGCGCGCCGGGCTAGGGCGGCGCGGCTCTGCCGCGCCGCGTTGGGCGGTTTAGGTGTTAGGTTAAATTCATACGGCCACTGGTGGGATACGACAGTTGTGTGCAGGGTTTGGCACTGTCGGGCAGCAGTGCCCACACTGCTCTCATAGACTGCTCTCATGCCAATGCATTGTGTGTGGGCAATAGGGGCGCTACAGCCCAAAATGATCCATTTGGATCGAAGGAAGTACTTTTTCAAAATTTTATTGTAACCATTGGATTCTACGCCCCTCAATTAGTCTAAAAAGCCGGTTAGATTTTTTCTGTGCCTTGTGTACTTCTCCTGCCCAGCGAACTAAACCATTGCCCGAGGATTACAACCTCTACGATCGCCTTCGCGAGAACGTTAGGCGGCTGTTCTTCACCGCCGCTTCAACGAGGATGAATAGCTCAACAAGGAGGAGCAGCTAGACAATCGCACAGTCGACGAAGCGGTCATTTTGGTTATCTGCAAGCCAATGCCTAAGAAAATGTCGCCTGTATCAGCAGCGTGTTTTTTTAATCTTTGAACCTGAGAGTTTGTTTGAACGTCCGCACTAGTCGGAGACATAAAGACATAAAGTGGGGGTTTCGTGGTCAGTAGAGCAGTGAGCAGACTGCAGGCACCATCGACTTGCTCTGGTTTACCTCGTCCACGACCACCATCTTCTTCTCCTTCTTCATCCTTTCTTTTGTCACATCTTTAGCTCTTTCTGTTCATCATGCAACACGTGAAACAAGCAACCAATGAACTTGTCCTATCTGACCAACAACTACTTTTTATTGGAAAAACATTTGCCCACCAACTCGATTTTGCGCTGAATGGCTGCGCCGGCCAAACGTTGCAAGTGTTTCCCACTTTTATCGACCAAATTCCCCAAGGCACTGAACGCGGACACTTTTTGGCCTTGGATCTTGGTGGCACCAACTTTAGAGTCTTGTACATCCGCCTTGAAGGAGACCGCCAAAGTTGGCTCATTAACCAAACGTACTCGGTGTCCCAGCAGCTCATGAAAGGTCGTGGTGAAGATCTTTTTGACTACATTGCCTCTTGCTTGTTCAACTTTGTCAAGGAGAATGGGCTTTTAAATATCAAGCTAAAGCTAGGCTTTACTTTTTCCTTTCCCTGCAAGCAAACGAGTCGGAACCAGGCAGTGCTCACTCATTGGACGAAAAATTTTCAGGTTTCAGGAGTGGTGAGTCGCGACATTGGCGAGATGCTGAAGTGCTCCATTGCAAAGTACGAAAATCTCGACATCGAGGTAGCCGCCATTCTGAACGACACCACCGGTACTCTTATCTCGTGTGCCTACCAGGAGCCAGACTGTCGAATGGGCGTTATTATCGGTAAGTTGGATTATTGATATTATTTAACAGTAGTTAACTTTTGGCAACTGTGCAGGTACTGGTGTCAACATTTGCTACATGGAATCGCACTGCCTGGACAAGGAAATGATCATCAACACTGAAATTGGCGCGTTCGGAAGTGCCAACCATTGTCTCGATTTTATCCGCACTCGCTGGGACAAGCAGTTGGATGAGGGCTCGCTCAATGTTGGCCAGCAACTGTTTGAGAAGATGGTCTCGGGCATGTACCTGGGCGAAATAGTGCGCACCATTGTCGTTGACCTAATGAAAGCTGGCATTCTCAGCTCGCAAGTTTTTGGCGCCTTTACAGCTCGCAACTCATTTACCACCTCAAACATATCCTGCATTGAGCTGGACTCGCCCACCTCTGCCTCCTTCACTCACACCAAGTCGGTGTTTGAGTCGATGCAAATCAGCCAGGCAAGCGTCGATGACTGCGCCAGTCTGCACCTAATTTGCTCTCGAGTCTCTGCACGCTCTGCTCATCTCGTGTCGGCCGTCATCGCTGCCCTCCTAAACCGAATGGCTCGTCGTCAAACGGTCATTGGGGTGGATGGCTCGGTGTACCGCTGCCACCCCCACTACAAGACCATTGTCAATGATAAAGTGGGAACACTGCTGCCGCTGTACGACAGCGACGACAACTCTGCCCTGGTGAAACACTTTCGTCTGATGCTCTCCGAGGATGGCAGTGGGCGTGGAGCTGCACTCATTGCCTCCCTCTCTGCTCGTCCCACTTACCAGGGCGTCCAGTGCGAGGACTGCAGCCGCCTGGGTCAAATTGAGTGCCCGACGTGCGTGGCGACCGCTTAACTCAATGACTTATCCATTGTCTACATGACTTAACTTGTTAACTTATTATTATCTCACCACAACCACTACTGCCACTTCTCGTAACTTATTTGCAATAAATTGACCCAATGAATGGCTACTACTGCCTCTCTCCTTTAGAACGTCCTTTTCAGTGTCTATTTATAGAATACCACAGAATTTGCCAGTCGACTTAATAATAGTTGGAGAGAGGGGCAGTACTGTCAATTAGAAAGTTGATGTACGACCGGGGCAGTGAAAGGGTGCCTTCCAGGATGGCCTTGCTTCACTAGTTGGCCAGTGATAACATGCTGCGTGTGCAGTACATGTCTCTTGTTCGCTTTCATCATGAAAGGATTGCTGGGAGAAATAAGTCAGCGAAGCGCGACACACAGCCACTCTCGCTCTCGAACTTGTTGCACAATAAAGACCGAACGACCAGCGCTGACCTCGATTTGTGCCCCAATGCTGTCTGTGCATGTAAAGACAAAGCGCGCACATTCCCTCCCCCAGACAATCTTGTCGGCGCGATCGGATCATTTCAATCGATGCCCTCATTTCACCGAATTACTGTCTAGGCTGGTGCAAAAAGCAGTGGCAGCGCAGTTCTCTTGCTCGAAGTCATTTTTGGCACTTGAGGCTGAAAATTTTACCTAAGGATACTGAAAAAAGTTTGCGACTGTGAATGATTCTCAATGATCCTCAAAGTCATTGCTCCCGAGTGCGGGCAATGTGCCGCTGATGGAAATAGAAAATGGATTGCCGCCGCAAAAAGAGCTGCCGCAGAGACCGCCAAGAATTTCCACTTTGGTTAGTGCATTCCGTTTCGCCACTCTCTTTCGCTGCTCCCATTTCATTTGTACTAGTGAGGACGAGATTGAAAAGCCCAAGTGCCTCAATCCTCATCAGCTAGTCATCAGCTGCACTCTGGATGATTATCTGGCAGATTTCGACACTTGCTGCACTGATGTCACCCGCTGATCGGCGCTGATTCGTTAATTGAATTGAAGGCTATGGGCGCTGCTCGCCTCCTTCTCCTACCACTCTCGCTACCCTCAGTCTGTAGTAGTGGCACTCGGCTGCTGTGGTCACAACGCGGACAACGCCGAAGCAAGAGGCCAGTCGGCGACACTGAGCAGACAAGAGAGACGGCGGCCACAGCGGCCACAAAAGAGAAAGAGAGAGACAGCTCTTAGCTCGATGAACTCCGAGAGTGAGGCGAATAACAGAAGCTTGCAGCTGCAATACACACTGAAAGCGACGGGACGCAAATCTCACCGCAGCTTCCACTTTGCAACTCCCCACCGTTGAACCCGTTGGTCAGACTGGGCCGCTTGACCAGGGCCAGACTATTCAGTGCAGTGTCTGGACATCAGCCCGACCAGTCAACCAATTCAACCACTTGTTTATGATTAAGGGCCACATGATTTGCACTGACCACAAAACAACATTGCCAATCTCTAATCGCATCTCATCTAACGCGCCGCCTACTCACCTAGCAGCTGATCATCAAAGCGCTGACAAAAGCGACGGAAACAACAACAAAAAGGCAGCAAAAGGATTATTACCAAAAACGATTCACACCCCAAAGATGATTGCTTCACTTTGACTATCTCTGCACTTGCTACCACTCTTGCAACCATGAAGGTTCTCTATGAGCAATACATTCGAAGACATAGGAGCGGTTCCAATCAAAGTAGCAACAACAACAACAACCATGCCGTCAGCATCTGCCATCCCATCGTGGATTCAGACAGTTTGTCTGCACGCCCTCCAATTGCTCACATAATCTCGCACGAATCACTCCTCATCAACAAGGAGCTAGGAGTAGGAGAGTTTGGACTAGTACAACAAGGTAAAATTTGAAATAGCGTGTATCGAAACACCGTAACATTTTGTATTCGTACTTTAGGTGTCTGGACAAATGGCAAAGGACAATGCATTCAAGTGGCCATCAAATGTCTCTCGGAGGAGCGGCTCGAGAATAATCGCACCGAGTTTCTCAAAGAAGCCGCCTTGATGCACTCCATTTCAAATGAACACATTGTCACCTTGTATGGGATCGTTCTCGAGCCTTCCATTATGCTCATCACTGAACTGGCCCCACTGCGATCATTGCTCGAGTGCCTCAAAGAACCTAATCTGACATCTCACTTTCCGGTTTCCTCTCTTTGCACCTTTGCATCTCAAATTGCCGATGGCATGGCCTATCTAGAGACGCGACGATTGATCCACCGGTACGTCTGATTTAAAAGTTCATTAAAAACTTTTAAAAACAATTTTTTACAGGGATTTGGCGGCAAGAAATGTTCTTGTTTTTGCCAAAAACAAAGTCAAAATATCCGACTTTGGTCTTTCACGGGCTCTCGGTGTTGGCAAAGACTACTATCAGAGCAACTTTAATGTCAACCTAAAGTTACCCATCGCTTGGTGTGCGCCTGAATGCATCAACTTTCTCAAATTTACCTCTCAATCTGACGTTTGGGCATATGGTGTGACGCTGTGGGAAATGTTCTCATACGGTTTTCAGCCTTGGATCGCCCTGACTGGTCAGCAAATTTTGGAAGCAATCGATGCGCCCAACCATCAGCGATTGGCCAAACCAGAGTGCTGCCCCGTCGAGTTTTACTCATTGATGCTCAAATGCTGGCGCCATGAACCTGATACACGGCCAAAGTTTTCTGAAATTGTTTCCATGTTACCCGATTGCAAGCCCGTTTTGCTGCAGGCAATACGCAACTCGAATCACGGCAACCAAAAGGAGCTTTTGTCCTACACAACAGGCGACATAGTGACGGTCATTGACAAGTCTCGGGGAGACGGCGCTGCCACCGAGAATGGCATACACCCATTATTTTGGAAAGGCGTCAGCAATGATCGCAAAACTGGCATCTTTAATCCAAGCGATTTTGTTGCCTATCTCGGCCAAAATTTGCCCTCAAACGTGTGCCCCGTTTCTGGAAGCTCAACCAACTCGTTCATGACCAACTTTCTCTCTGGTGGCAGTTCCTCTTCAACGGGCAGCTCTAATGGCCATCACAACAGTCACAGCAGCGGACACGGCGCAAGTGGCCACAACTCGCTTGCCTCCACCATAACTTCCACTGTACTGCAATCATCCAAGTTTATACGTGGATTCCTTGAATCAAAAAGCCACCACGGCAGCAACAACTCTTCGCCGCACGGCAATCGCAAGCATCGTCTCCGGCCGGAAATGATTTCCAAGCCTCAAGGTGATTTTAAACATACTGGTCATGTCGGTGCTGATGGTGTTTTCTTTGGCAATGTTTCTTTCCTAGAAGGCAACCATCACCACTTGCCTAAGAACTATTCTGCCGGCACTAGTGAGAGTAATAGCAAGCTGCCTCACATATCGCACCCCATTGCCTCCTATGCCCGCAACAGCTCAGTTTCGCTCAACAACGGCAATTGTGGGGAGGAAAATCACGAGTACCACGAGATTAGCGATGAAGAACATTTTGACCCGGCAAGTCCTCCGTTTGAGGTAAGTGTCCTGCTTTGTAACACTTTCTCCCTTTTGTAACCGTAACATTTTCAGGCAATTGACCTTGGCTTTTCGTTTATGGAAGAGGTTTTTCGTGAACTGCCTCACATAAACACTGATTTAAACAATGAGACTGCAGAGTCTGAGACGGCGATTAATGAAAATGGTATTAACGTAAAAAATGAAGTTCTCGAGCTGAACCTCAAGATGATAGAGGCATGCAATTCAAAAAAGAAGCCATCAGCTGTAAAGCACATTTCGGAAGCCGAACAAAACGAACTCGAATCAGCCATCGCTATGGCCAAGGACATGCTTGCCACTCGCACAATGGAGGATGAGCTCGATTTGACAAAAAATGACTCTCCAAAAACGCCCAACTCGCCAAACAAGCGCAAGTTTTCATTCAAGTTTCCCCACACTCACAAGTCGTCGCCAAAGAGTGAACGCCGAACGTTTAGCCAAGAAACCGAGTCGATTGGCAACATCATCGAGAGCATTACTCCGGCGGCAAAGGAAGCCTATCTGTCTTTGGTGGAAAAGGGCGTCTCGCCAGCCGCGCAGCCAACCAACCCGTGCAGCACTGCCAAGGAGCACCTGGACAAGCGGCCGGACGTGAAGCCACCGCCGCCGCCGTCACAGCCGCCAGTCACCTCCTCAGTCTCCAGCACATTCACCCACGGAGCCAGCGAGGACAGCAATCCTCTGCGAATGCTCCGTTCTGCAGGCATTGGCCAAGTGCTCAGGCCAAAGGTGCGCGGCAACCGGTCATTTTCGCAGCCTCGTCTGCCAACCACCGCGCAGACGGCTGGTCTGGCTCGCGTCGCTTCTTCACGTTCGCAATTGGGTACGCACTGCTCATCTCCACTCGAGCAATGGTAATCAACAACAACTTTTCCCTTTTCAGGTTCACCGCCGCCGGTTCCTAGTGGAGACGGTGTTTTGTGCAGTCAGCAGACGGTGGCAGGTAGTTTGCCTGGAAGCGACAGCAGCGTGGCCAACTGCAATGCGCTGCCACTGCCGCCGCGAGACCGCAGTCGACCGCTGATTCAGCTAAAGACCCATCAACGTCGGCATCCGTTGGTGATTCCCGCCGAGCTGTCTGGCAGCTCTGCTCAGGACGCTGCCGCTGACTACGGCTCGGTTCACCTCTCTGAAGATCTCACCTACGATTCGGTGAAGCACGAATCGCCTCCACTAGTTCATAGGCACGTACCGGTTCTCAAGCAAGTATCATGCCCACAAGCACCAGCCGCTTTCTTGAACGTCTACAACAACAACAACAAAGCTACTAACAACGCCAGCTTTGCTTTGACTAGCTTTAGTGACTGTGATGGAGCTTCAGCACCTTTGACCCTGCAGCCAAACTCTAGCCGAACATATCTGTATGCTTTCCTCTTTCTCTATCAGTACATGACTAATTGAACATTTTCCATTTAGGACCGACGATCTGACTGAATCTCTCGAAAGTGAAATGGAAAAAGCATTTGAAAGTATTAAA